GAATTCAACAAAAATTGTCTTATTTAGTATTAGAACAATACAAACAACAAATTGTTAACCAATAGTTGTTCCTTTAATAGAAGAAGAAATGAAATTTAGTAAGTGATTTGCAAATGTCTAAATTTCTGATATATAATACAGCTTGGGATTCTACATCTTATGTTCATAATTGTTATTTAATTAAGAATATTTTTTTCAAAATAAAAGTATTTTCATTATATTCAGTTAAGATCACTGACTCTACTCTGGCTTAATCTGCCTTTTATCAGGCAGGCAGCTCAGGAGTAGCCAGAGCTACTAAGAGGAAATTTAGGTTTTAAAAAGCTATTACTCATGGCTTGCCCTTGTGTAGGTAAGTGCTGATAACTGTGCTCCTACAGGAATGACTTTCAGAAATGCTTCTGCCTCCTGCAGTGCAGACTGCCTGGGCCTCAGATGCAAGAGGCTGAACTGAAATACTCACACAACGCCAACTGGAGAGTGAAGGAACTGAAAGGAAAACAGACTATTATTCTCTTCTCTGTATAGGAAACATCACAAAGTGACTGATGAAGAGGTGGTCAAAGACTTCACAGCCAAAAGGCAAATGCTAAAAAGGGTGTTGTATTTGCAACTTTTCAGTAGCTTTAAAAAATTAAAATATAAAATAGTATTTATTGAAATGATCTCAGGAAATGGAAATAAGAGGGCTTTATTTTTCTTCGTTGTTTTGTTTTCTTTTCGTCTTATTCATTTAGCTGTCTTTCAGAGAGTAAAGGGAGGGGACACAGAAATGGAGAGTCAAAGGGTAACTATATGCAGCAATGGTACTCACTAGACACTATGTTAAAAATGAACTATAGAACTTGTGAGTGAGGAAGGGAGGGGAAAATTGGGAGAGAGTAAGGGAATGGGTGGCATTGTCCAAAAAGAAATGTGCTCATTACCTGACTTATATAACCCAAACCTCTCTGTATATCACTTTTATTATAACAATAAAAACTAAAATAAAAACATAATTTGTGGTACTTTCTCTTTTCATTACAAATAAATATTTTGTTTATATGTGCATGCATCTATAGCGCCTTACTATGAGCTTTCAAAATTGTGAGTTTGAAGCCCTACCAAAAGCTTCAAAGCACCTGTTTTAGGAAAACAAAATGAAGACCACTAGGAAAGATGATTATAAGGATTTAAAACCCAATAGATGCTGGAGGGGATGTGGACAGAAGGGAACCCTACTGCATTGTTGGTGGGAGTGTAAACTTGTTCAATCACTTTGGAAAGCAGTATGGAGGTTCCTCAAAAGACTTCACATAGAGCTCCCCTATGATCCAGCAATCCCATTTTTGGGCATTTACCCAAATGATCACAAACAAGATCATACTAAAGCTACCAGCACAACTATGTTTATCACAGCATTTATTTATCATAGCTTAGATATGGAACCAACCCTCTCCTCAATAGAAGAATGGATCAAGAAAATGTGGTATATATACACAATGGAAGTCTATGCCTCCATTAGAAAGAATGACATTTCCCCATTTGTTCGGAAATGGAAAGACTTGGAAAAAATTATATTAAGTGAAGTAAGCCAGGCCCAAAGAAACATAGGTCCCATGGTTTCCCTTATTTGCAATAACTAGTATATGTCTGAGACAAGCAGAAAAGGTCAGATAAGTTGATGTTAGGCAAAATGAACCCCAAGATAAGGACTCAAATGGTTTTTCTTTCTTGCTATTGTTTCTAACATATTTATAAGGTGATTTTTTGTTGCTTTGATTGCCTCTCCCCCACAGTATAATCCCTATTTTCACTGTATTTGATGTTGGTATAATTTGGGGAAAGGAAGGGAAAAAACAAATTGTTCAAATAGGGATACAGGTGGACCCATTGCAACAATGAAATGTACAAGAAGATGCTATGTCAAAAAATGAACTTTACAGCTTTGGTGGGGGAGTGTAGTCATGGAGATGGGAGGGCAGGGATGGAAAGAGAAAAACAAAGGAGGAGGCAACAATGCTTGATAAGTACCTTGCTCATGTAATTGTACAGTATTTTCACAATAAAAAAACTTATTAATAAAAAGAAAGAAAACTTTATCTGTAAAAATGAATAAAACCCAATAAAGACTGAAGTAAGTTTATTTAAACTTATTTAAAATTTAGCCAAGTTTCTCAATCAACTGGATGTGGGGATGGGACATAAAAGTAGGTCTACTAAGGTTTTAGGTTGGGTGAATGGAGAGGTTTTTCATCATTCACTATAAGGGAATTCAGTAGGTGGAAGATAAGGGTCAGGAGAAAGAGTTGAGCCAGAGAAGCAAACTAGACAATAACTATGTCTCTACTGGGAAACCCCAGTAACTGACTGGCATTTTTTGTGATCTGGGTAAAATGCATGAAGAAATAAAGCCAAAGGATGGGACACTGGAAACAACTCACACACAACACACGGGTGTTTGTGAAAGAAGTGTGAAGGGACCAGTATAGAAGACAGGCAATTGGAAAAACCACACACACAAGAAAGAGCAGCCTTATTAAACTGAAGATGTTTGAGTAATCCTAAAGAGAGAATTATTACTAAAGTATTTTAAATTTGGCAAATAAGGATATAACTAGCAACCCTAAGTAAGAACTCAGTGCAATGTAAAAGTTGATGTGAGACTAGTAGGCTGAAGATCAATAGGAAGTAGACTCAGAAAATGCGGATAACTCTCAAGAATCATAGCCAGGAACAAGAAGTAGTCAAAATACTGGGTCACAGCAGGGCTAGCTTCCTTTATTTGTACCAACTGAAAAAATATCTATGTTACGATCCAGCAATTCCACTCCTAGGAAAGGATCTAAGTATCATCAAAAGGAGAATTACAGCTCATTCATACAATGGAATACTATGAAACATTAAAAAGAGGAGTCTGCATACACACAACACATATTACATAATTCCATTTGTATGAAGTTCAAGAATAGTTAAAACTAACCTGCTGTTAGAGGTCATAGTAGTAGTTATCTCTGAGGAAATGTGTTATTGCCTGAAAATGAGGACTAAGTGAACCTTCTGGACTGCTGTACTTTTTATCTGTGTGACAGGTATACTGAGGTGTGGATAGGTTAAAAAACAAAACAAAACAAAACGCTGTCATTAAGGTTAGTGAATTCAGCCAGGCAACAACTGGCTCACATCTATAATACTAGCTACTCGGAGGCAAAGATCTGAGAGTCGAGATTGGAAGCCAGCTAAGCAGGAAAGTCTGTGAGACTCTTATCTCCAATTAACTACCAAAAGAGCCTAAGTGGAGCTGTGGCTCAAGTGGAAGAGTGCTAGTCTTTAGCTAAAAAGCTCAGGGACATCGCCCAGGACCTCAGTTCAAAGTCCAGTACCAGCACAAAGAAAGATTAGTGAACTCTACATTCCTAACTTTGTGTCTAAATAAAGTTAAAACAAAATATACATTAATGAAAATGAAATTTGAAAGACCAACTTTACTAATAAAATACCACTAAGAATATCTCTGAAATACCCCAAATCTCTCTGAGCCTGACTTGCAGTACTTAACATACTTTTCCAGGTCCATCCATTTCCCTGCAATATATCTCACTACCATATTTTCTTGATTCATTCTGCCCTTATAGAACATCTCACCTGTTTCCCCACCTTGGCTATGAATAGTGCAGTAATGAACACGAGTATGCAAGTGTCTTTAGTATATCCTCACTTGTAAGGGTAGAGTGACATCACGGGATCAGAGTCATTTTTGTTGTTGTTGTTTTGTTTTGTTTTTGTCAGTCATGGGGCTTGAACTCATGGCCTGGGTGCTGTCCCTGAGCTCTTCAGGATGTCCTTGAACTATGATCTTCAGATCTTAGCCTCCTGAGTAGCTAGGATTACAGGCATAAGCCATCAGCACCTGGCACAGGGTAGTTTTATGTTTAGTTTTTTGAGGACTCTCCAAACTGCCTTCTATAGTGGTTGACTAGTTTACATTCCCACCAACAGTGTAATAGGGTTCCTTTAAGTTAGTCTTAGAAAGACAAAGAAAACATTAGCACAGGTTTGTTTCATATGAAAAAGTTAAATCTAAATAATATACATATATGAAAACATATACAAGGCCACATGCATATATCCACCAATAAACTGACTAAATTATGGTACATTCAATAAACTGACTAAAGTATGGAATTCAATGATGTAACTACTCTAAACAACTTGTATTTTCACAAAATGAATACCAGGAAGCCAAACAAAGGATGGGTAGTGTAATGTGAATGGCAGGGCCTGTGAATACAATCACAATACTAAATGAACATGTGAAATAGCAGAACCTGGTTATAGATGAGGTAGGCATAAACCGGGGGGCAGGAGGAATGATAAAAGGTCTAACACTGATCAAGATGCATTGGGCTCATAACTGACATGTAAAATTAAAACTGCCTCTGTATAACTGAAGATAATTAGAAAAACTAATAAATATGATGCAGTCCAAGTGAATCTTAAGTTGGCCCCAAGCTATTTGACATTAATATGCATAGCACCAGAACTGGAACTGCCTGAACCAAATGAATCCATCTGCCTCAGAGTCAACACTCCTTCCCTCCGGCAGTCTCATCAGTGTTGTCAGTTTATTCGTTATCAATCTAGAAATCCTGCCTCCTTTGCCTACTTCTGTCTCTGGATAATCTATCCTTCCCAACTGCACAACCTTCAGAGTGTCAGAAAGAGCTTTCTAGGGCTCGACTTCAGCCTAATATTTTTCATGTGTGAAGAGCAGAGTTCCTAATTCCCTTTTCTACTGTGGAAAGGCAGTTTAAAAGACAGCTTTGTACCCATCAGATTCCCAGCAGAAGTTTGTGATCCTCTCCTTTGATGTCTAGCTTTCAGATCAAATGAAGAGATAACAGCAAGCATTTGAACCCACAGTCATTTGGGGTATTAATCATTAATATATTATATTCAGTTTTCTTAAGATTTAGTATAGTACCTGCATGCTCATTAAAAAAAGAAAAATAAGTACTTACCATTTTGTCTGGTTCCAACAGCAGCAATAATTACTGGAACTGAATTTAATGCTCTTTTTATCACTGGAATATAATTATCTTTTACTTCATGGAATGAAAACTTGTCATTTACATTGTATTTGATCACAATGATGTCGGCACTCCCAATTAGATTTCGAGATGTGTACCAATCACTGTCAAAAATGTCCTAGACCAAAATGCAAATAATAAACATTAGTTTAGTGATCTTCAATCATAAAATCAATTAGAATATAAGTAATGTAGTCATTTTAAATATTTTCCTCTCTTTTATTTTTTTGAATAATTTATATAAATTTTCCTCGCTTGGCTTTTTCTGCTTATGGATGACACTCTACCCCTTGAGCCACAATTCTACTTCTGACTTTTTGATGGTTAGTTGGGAAATAGGAGTCTTGAGATTTGACTGCCCAGGCTGGCTCCAAGCTGAGATTCTCAAATCTCAGTCTCTTGAGAAGCTAAGATTATAGGCATAAGCCACCAGCATCTAGCTATAAATTTATTTTCAATTAGGTAACTATATATTTTAGTGCTTTGAATTGCCATATACTGTGTATTTTGTGGTGTTCCATATATTGTATTCATACTTTAAAAAGTCACATGTAGGGCTGGGAAGGTGACTCAGTGGTAGAGCACTTGCTTTGCATGCTCGAGGCCCTGGGTTCGATTCCTCAGCACCACATAAGAAAAAGAAAAACGCCGGAAGTGGCGCTGTGGCTCAAGTGGTAGAGCGCTAACTTGAGCTGAAGAGCTGAGGGACAGCGCCCAGACCCAGAGTTCAGGCCCCACGACTGGACCTCAAAAAAAAAAAAAGTCACATGTACTTTTCAGCTTTATACTGTGCATATGTAGCGTATCTAGCAGAGTGGGGAAAATATACCTCTCTCAAACCTGCTGTTTTACAACATGTAAACATGGGAAGGAATATATTTGCAATTCATGTATTTTGCTTCTACATTAAAAACTCAAGGTAAGCCTTCTAGTTGTATAATCTTTCTTTTGTTCCGAGTTGATAATAGTTGTATTTATAATTGGAACCATAAGCAATGTTATAGAACCTATTCCTTAAAGTTTTGCTGCTTTGATACTTCAAAAATAATTTTTAAGCCAAGTGCCAGTGGCTCATGTCTATAATCTTGGTTATACATGAGACTATGATCTAAGGATTGTGATTTGAAGCTGGCCTAGGCAGGCTTTTATCTACAATTAATGCTCTTATGCATAATAAAAATCAGAGCTTTGATTCTTCCACAAAAAATTGTGAACATTCACCTCACTTTTTTTTTTTCTTTTTGGTCAGTCATGGAGCTTGAACTCTGGGCGGGGGCGCTGTCCCTCAGCTCTTCAGCTCAAGGCCAGTGCTCTACCACTTGAGCCACAGCACCACTTCTGGTTTCCTGGTGGTTTATTGCAGATAAGAGTCTCATGCACTTTTCTTGCCCGGGCTGGCTTTGAAGCGCAATCTTCACATCTCGGCCTCACATCTCAGCCTCTTGAGTAGCTAGGATTACAGGTATGAGCCAATGGTTGCCGGCTCACCTTACTATTTTTAATCAATTATTTTTGGTAGAAATGAAAGAATCTAGAAATGTGAAATGAATAAATAACATGATTGCAAACACAAAAAGGAGTGGGTGAAAAAGAACTACTTAGTAATGAGCTACATCCAATGAATTTGAAGCCTGTTTCTTAAAAAGTGCCAAGTTATAAGGCAATGAGCCAGAACAAGGCAAAGGATCCATAGAAAATTACTTCTGAAGGGAAGTACAACTTTCTCATTCCAACTCCCAGGCAGCAACAGCTATGTCAAAGAGCAAATGCTCCACTGGTTTCTAGAATTATGAAGGAAATAAAATTCTCCCACCCCTTGTAAATCAGTTCCTGGATTTCCTCTTGGGGATTACACAACATAATGCTTGGAGCCATATTTGGAGAATTTAACTCATCTTAGGAAAAAAAAATCTGAATTTCTACAATATACCAATTTTATCCTACTTGATTACAGAGCTACACATACAGCACCTAGTAGAATTTATGTTTTGCAAATGTATTATATTGGTATAAATCTTAATGGGCATGTGAGGAAATTACCTCTGTTAAGTGTTAAGTGATACATGACTATGCTAAAGTTTTATAATAAACACTTTATTATAGTAACTACCACTTCTGGAGCACTTACTCCATGCCAGAGTCTAAGCTTTAGAACTTTTACATGTACTATCTCATTTACTTCTTGGAACAGCTCTAGTAGGCAGAGATAATGCAGAATTCTCTAGAGATAGGAAAAATGTATAGATTGAGAGGTGAAAGATTTACCAAAGACACAGAAGCACTAAATGAAAATGTCAGAATGCAAAATCAATTCCTTTTGGTAACAAAGTCTTTTGTTTACTCTGCTGAGATAATTTGATACCAATATAAGGTATATATGTCATTAATATACTAAACTTTACGATCTTTATCAGTATTACTACTACTAAGAGAATAAAAGCACTTGTCAATGAAGAGACCCATTAAACCTAGAAAATTATACCTGATTTTTAAAAAATTAGGCTCTGATACCACCAGAGTCAAACCATACAGTATAATATTTAATAGCTTAATAAATCAAATAGCCAAATTCCAGTCTACAAAAGTTTGTTTGATCCATTTGGAAGATTTCATTTCACTATACATAACACAAAGGATCATAAGTATGAATTTTTGCTAACTTAAACAGAAAAGGATTAATAGATCAACAGGAAAGGCAATCCCAACCTCCTAATTTGCTTTCCTCTACATTTATTTGCTTTCCTCTACATTTATTTACTGTGTTCACTAAACATTTGTTCAGTAGTGTGTGGAACAAGTTCGTTTTCAGGCTGGATGATCTTTTATAATGAAAAGACCAGGAGTAAAAGGAGTGCTTCATTTTCTGGCACAGACTCCTGCTAGAAAGCAAGTTCTCCATGGATACTTCTTTTGCACAGCAGTATCATTGCCATCTCACGGGCTCAACCGCATCCTAATACTGAAAAGGCTGTTTTTAATTTAGTTTAGCACATGAATACAACCTTCCTTTAACTGAAAATTTGTATGAACCATTTGTTGCACAAGAAATTCTTCTAGGTACATTCTATATATTTTATTTAAAAACATATGTTATCTCCTGATAGCTATAATCCCTTTGTTAAAAATCCATTTTAAAAATAAACAAAACAGGCAGGTGCTGGTGGCTCATGCCTAGCTACTCAGCAGGCTGAGATCTGAGGACAGTGCTTCGAAGACAGCTGTGGCAGGAAAGGCCATGACTATTAAAAGAGCCAGAAGTAGAGCTGTGGCTCAAGTAGTGGAGTGCTAGCCTTGAGCAAAAGAAGCTTAGTGACAGAGTCCAGGCCCAGAGTTCAAGCCCACAATCAGCACTAAAAAAAAAAGTTAATAAAACAATCGAAAAGTAAAGGGGGAGAGAGAAAGGAAGGAGAAAAAAAAGCAAAATCTCAAATCAAAATGACAACTTGTATTTTTTTTCAGGCACTAAGTTTCCTCTTTAAAAAAAAATCAGTCTTCAAGTGAAATATATGTAACCCCAATACCAATAAACAGGAGGATGTTTTTAAATTCGGTTATGTAAAAACACTTGAAATAGAATGATAAGGCACACTGGAAATACTTTTGTGTTAAGGAAGAGACTCCTTTGACCTTTTACCAGACACTCCAGAATGAGACTAAGACTTTTCTGTAGTTTCAATTATCACAAATCTGAAAGATTTTTTTAAAATTTTCAAATTAGTAATATTTCTGATTTCAGATCACTACAAATAAACAGCTAATATCTGAGAAGGGTTTGCATTATTGAAATTAATTAAGGTTAACAGTGTTACAAATGTGTCTTTTAAAATGAATCTTAGTCCCGGTCTTTTCTCCTCCTTCTATGCTATTTCTGCAGTGTCCCAGTGAAAAGTATTTTTATGTTGAGCTATACCAGGGCTGTATTTATAGAACATCACAGAAGCATGGGGTGTGGGGCAGGCGATCAAAAACAAGAAACAAAAAACAAAAACAATGCCCTCAGCTAGTGGAACTTAGTGAGCCTGTCCCTTTGGGGTTGACGCATTCAACAATCCACTGTTTACCTAGGGACAATCTACAGTTTTGAAAGAGTAAGGACTCTGTATTCTCACTGGGACTTCTTAACCTTACAGGAGTTCTGACTCTCTCCACCCCCTCGGCCCGATGAAACAAAAGACCATATTAATAGTACTTGAAAAAGAAAAAAGAAAAAGTTTAAAAACTCTACACAAGTAACACTTCACATCCACGCAAGTGGGGTAAGGAGGAAGGAGGGGAAGTTCCCTAACAGGAGCGTGGGGGACGCTTTTTCGGCCTCGGCACAGAGCAGCTGCTCCTTACCCAGACGGGACAGTCGTGAACCACGAGCTTGACGTTCCCAAACGCACTGGCCTGATACTCGGTGAACACCGGACGCGCCACCGTGCCGGTCGCGTTCAGCAACAAGCTGCTTTCGTCCCCGGAGACCAGAGGGCTTCTCCCCAGGTACGTGCGGATGAGCCCCGACGGCCGATTGTCCTGGTGGAACGCGTCGCCCTCGTTCCCCAGAGCCACGATGTGAATGGACCTGCAGGGACAGAGAAAGGGTGCGCGGGGGCGAGGAGGAGAGCCGCGGTGAGCGCGCCCATCACTTTGCGCGGAACAGGAAGTGCGGGGGGCCGCGCGCCGCCGGGGTGGGCACCGGTCCCCTAGCCCCCCGGGCGCGCGCCACGCGCTGGGGCTGGAGACAATGGCTGGACGGCGGTACCTACATGATCTCCAACGCAAGGGCAAAGCGGCGACTCGGAGAAAAGCAGCCACACGCTTCCTCACGGTGTCTCCGAGCCCGGCGGCGGCGGCGGCGGCGTATTTACCCGCAATGTGCTCATCACCCCCCGCGCGCCTCCACCGCGGCGCGGCCGACGCAGAGCCGGGGCCCGGCGAGCCGGCAAGCTGGCCGGGAACCGGGGACCCCGGAGGCGCACGGACGAGCGATCAAGGAGTGCCCGGGGACATGGCGGGAGGCCCCCTTCCGAGAGTGGCGGGGCGCGCAGCAGGGCTGCAACCCCGAGTGGATTCAGCTGACCGCTGCCCCTCTCCGCCGCGCCTCCCCGGCGGGGCAGCTGTCGCCTCCCACAGCTGCCTCTGCTCCGCCTCCTACTCCTCTTTCTCTCCTCCTCCCGGCAGACACGCGGGGGGGAGGGAGAGGGAGCGAAGGCTGGAGCCCCCGCCCTCCGGCGGGCCCGGCCCCGCACGTGCGGGCTTCTGGAGTCCGGGGGGAACGTGGCGGACGCGTTCCCCGTCAAGGTCCCCAAGTCCCGAGTGGACGCAGCCGGATACAAAGGATCGGCCGGCGCCCGCGCCGCGGAATATAAATTAATAAATACAACGCTGAGCCCGAGAGCGGCCGGCTCCAAATCCGCCTGCAGCAAGTTTGTTCAACTCACAGGCTGTAACCAGAGCCAGGAAAGCGGGGTGGGGCGCCGAGGCCCCCGCGCACTGTGGACTAGGAGAGAAAGAGAGAGAAAGAGAGAGAGAAAAAGGAGGTTAGCAAAACTGGGGATTCTATCTAGCCCATTTGCGGCTTCAGCAATTCAGTTTTGCTCCCTCCTGGCCTTGTCATTTGTCACCGTGCGCTACAGCTGTTTTCTAAAATCATACTTGAGAGACGAAAATCAAAATAGAAAATAAAACTTAAGGCAACATTCATGGTACTGCAGGAAAAAAAAATATAGGTGCTTTGTTCGCCAACCAATTAATTGGCTAATGAATGTCTCTTTGTCTTTTGCAGGGATTCTTTATTATTTCCAGCTGTATTTGGCGTATTTACCTTACACTGAAAGGTTTGTGCTGAAAAACTGGAAGAAATGGTGCTAGTTTACTTGGAGATTTTAAAGTCTATATTATGGCTACATATTTAATACTGGTCGTCAGACCAACTGAAACAATATCATGTTGATACGAGGATACTTTAGATTCTTTCATGATGACACAATAAAGCCCAGGATGTTGATGTCTCTCCCTAAAGGACACCAACAGCCTCAGCGCAAATCACAAGGGTTGAAAGGATGGTTTCTAGTCCCCAAACAGGTCTGGGGTTACTCTGGGGTTCCTCCATACACATTAAAATTCTCACCAACACTCTGTCTTAAAGGACTCATTGTTTACCCTTTGATTTATTTATTTTGCCCTACTTTAAAATTGGGCTGTGTCTTTTCTCAGCAGATCTATTTTGAGTGTGTGAAACAGGAGGTAGCTGGGGTTTCCAGAGAAGGCTAAGGTAAGAGGCCTTTGGGAATGTCAATAGCTCTTTATTACGGGGCCTTTATTTCTCAGTTGGAAATACTTGAATAATTTCCCCTACTTCAGAAATAGAAGACAAACAATAGAAGTCTTTCTCTTCCATGGTTTCTGACCTCCCCCCCCCCCCCACACACACACCTCCCTGCTTTTTTTTCCCCTTTGAAATGGGATCTTGTTCAGGTTGGCCTCTAACTTTTGGCCTTCCCACCTCATCCTCTGAAATAGCTGGGATTCACAAGTTTGTACCTACATGCATGGCAGGTCACTGATTTAAAATAAATAAATAAGTTACCCTGTACACCTATGAATGTGCTTTTTGTTTCTAACTAGGAATGGGGAACCTTTTTTGTTTTCTTCAAGGGCCATTTGAATATTTATAACATCATTTGAAATTGACATTACAGGCAAATGGATTAGGGCAGCCTACAAAAGCATATGTGATTGTCTTGTACCAACTGATTTCCTAGGACCTAATACAAGCTTTAATTAACTAGCCTGAAAAATTAAACAAGACATTGCCTTTTCTCTCAGGTCCACAGGAAATATTTTCACATCAATTTCCTCCAGTAGCATGCAAGGCAAACACAAAGACACTAGAATGATTGACTAAAATATGATATGTAAATATAATGAACTTAAAAAACAAAAAACACCAACATCCCATTGTGCTACCCAGCATGATCTGAAACTTCTGGGCTGAAGTGATCCCTTGCTTGAAGCTTCCAGAATAGCTAGGGCAACAGGTACTCATCATTACACACATTTTTCAAAACTGTTAATCAGCATTTTAAAATGTAGGAAATCCTCCAAGATTGATGATCCTACATACACGACAGGGTGCTAAGTGAAATGAGGCAGTCACTAAAAGATCAGTAGAAAATCATTCCACTTTCATGTGGTATCTAAAATAGGGGAACTCTTAGAAACAGAAAGTAAGAGTATTTAACTAGGGACTGGAGGGAGAGGGGAGGAAAGAAGTTGTTTAGGGTTTCAGAGTTCCAGTTTTCCAAGATGAAGACGTTAGAGATTTGTTGGACAATAAATTGTATGTTGTAATACTACTACTATACTGGATGCTAAAACCTAAGGCAAATTTCATGTTATGTATTTTTTTATCACAATACAAATCAGATAAGAATAAAAAAGGATACTAGATAAATTCCAATTATTAAGTATCAGGGTTGGACAAATCATCTACTTTTTTTCCTCTCAATTATTAAGCATATGAGCCAGGCCTGTGCTTTGTAGCCATGAAAGATACTGAAATACACAAAACTCCATCCTTCCCTTGAAGAAGCTAAGTCTGGTAATGGTCACTGAACTGTGACTATTAATGCAGCCAATCCTTTTGAAAATATAAGGATTTCTTAATAATTATCTAATGCATCTCATAATAGAAAAACATGCAAAGTATAAGGATAAAATTTTCAGTGAATGTTTAGAAGAGATCTGTGGTCTGTGTCATCAGAGAAGTTCATAGAGGAAGTAAACATTGTCATGTGTTTTAAAAAGATGAGGAAGAGTTTGCTAGACTTGGAGGGGAAGAGGTTAGGGGAAATGAATATTAAAAAACAGTAGACATACATGTAAATTACATACGCAGTGAGAAATGCATGACTTTTGCTATTCAAAGAAAGACTAGATGGATTCATGCTGGTTTGCACATTCCTGTATTATGGCAGGTAGAAAAAAAAGGTGGTGGAGATTCCCCAATATAAATCAAACCTGTTTGGAACACATGCATGTGCGCACACACACACACACACACACACACACACACACACTAGTGCTCATCAAATCCATTTTCTCTTCCAAGATACATAAATGCATTCCCAAAACATTTTACATGTTGGTAAAGCCATGTATTTATCACATTTTGTCCCCCCAAATAGGTAAAAGAAAGTGTTTCTTCTCTACTTTGTTTATCCTTCCATCTACCAACCAGATGAAGCTAGGTCAACCTAGAAGTATGTTTTGGAAGACATTGGCACTGCAGTGTGGAATGAGTTCCTGAATACCTGGTTGTACAGCAGAGCCTCCTCACAGCATGCCCTGTGCTGTGACATGAGTGAGAAATAGATCTTTATTGAGTTACGCCAGGCATTTTGAGGTCAATTATTACAGCAAGCTAGTGTTGCTTATTTTGGCTAATAGACTATCACAGATGTTCCATTTCTTGATATCTTAAGATCACTTTTTAGGAGTTATTTCCATCTCATTAAAAAAAATTCTATTTGGTTTATATCTTTGTTGTTTTCCTTACTAGCATTTAAAAATAATACTTTTACTAAAACAAATTATAGCAAATTAGATTACCTTATGTCCCCAACTCCAAGGTTACTGGGGACACACAGGAAAGGTTTCCACTCCAAATGGTATTTTTCCCTCCTTTAAAGGCTGAATTGCCACCATTCCATACTCATTCTGTTCGATACTTTTATCCCATAATGAGATGTAGTGCTTGTTACTTAGTGAGCTATTACTATTCCCCATATTATAACTATAACACCTTTTTTTTGGGGGGGGGTCCGGTCGTGGGGCCTAAACTCTGAGTCTGGGTGCTGTCCCTCAGCTCTTCAGCTCAAGGCTAGTGCACTACCACTTGAGCCACAGCGCCACTTCCGGCTTTTTTCTTTTTGCTTATGTGGTGCTGAGGAATCGAACCCAGGGCCTCAGGCATGCAAGGCAAGCGCTCTACCACTGAGCCACCTTCCCAGCCCGACTATAACAACTTTTGAAACGCATGACTAGAGTAGGAGCAAGTGTTGGTGAGGGCAGGCCTGGAGAAGGAAGCAGATCTGGAGAGCTAGCTTTTGCACATTTGTGTTTCACAGAAACTAGGTGTTCACAGAAGAATCTTGAAGCCTTGCCTCAAGGGTAGCAGAGAAAGAGTCCACATAGGTAGAGGGCTGAGCTCTGATACCCTCAGCTAATTAACTTTAAGTAGTCTTGTTGCCATGTTGTCCTTTAAATGCTACAGTATCATGTTCATTTTTAATCTTTAAAAAAGTTTCTAATGTTAAAAACAAACAAAAATTTAAGACTCCTTATCTAGGGACCTTGCTGTAGGGTACAGAAGATGCCCACTGAAACTCCAAAATTAAAAATTCATTCTTACATTCACAAATACTTGGATTTTTTAACCAAAATAAGAGGGAAGATATTAAATTGTACTACTGTTTCGTGAGTGGATTGGCACTGGTACCCCCACATGATCCATAAGTGAGCTGGTACTAGATGGGGAGAAGTGGAAGGACTCTTCAGTGGTGTCAGTATAAGGCCTCATATTCTCCCTTCTGTGTCTGGCTAAAGGGGTTATGAATGATCTTTAAGTAAACTCACATCATGAATGAATGGAGATAGTGTTACAAATGCAAGAACACATAAGCACCATTAACCAGGCTGACATTTCTGACACTTTGGGAGCCACGTTAAGGTAAAAAACTGATGACTAATCAGACCTGAAAAGATCCAGCCATAATTGTTATTAAACGACACTGTCTTAAGCACAAATTTATATTCATTATTCCTAATACTGGTTTCACTTTAAGTGTATATCACAATTAGCTAACTACTTAAGAACTGAAGATCCAAACACAAATGCAGGTAAATACTGAGCTATTCAAAACAATGGTGGGTACTAGTAATAAATTCTAAATAAAAACCCTCTTCTAAGCTTTCTTTTAAAAAATGAATGTCAAAAAGGAACCCACTATTCAGGAAATTATTTTCTTCTTGCCAAGATAAAAAATGTTGGAAATAACACATGGAACACAAATAGGGTGAATGTG